CTCCGTCTTGTCAAAGCTCCAAAATTCACAATTGAAACCCGTGCCTTCATGTAAAAAGTTGTTTTTCTCTGCAAGAAGAAGCTGAGAACTTTTTTACTGATTTTTTAATTAAAAGCTTTGTGTGAAAAATGCTATTCTAAAGAGCTCAAACCACACCAAGCGTCCACCATTTTGAGAATCGAAAAACAGGAACGAGAGACAGCCCATGTCACGTCAAGGGGCCTCCCTCCCATTTTCTTAGAGACACGCTGCTCGCTCCCTCACTATCCATCCTTCCGTTCAAACAAACTTATACTACCATCCAGTGGTCAATAAAGGTACTACGCTCAAAAATTAACCAACATTTCTTCTTAAATTTGACAATAATTATTAATTAAAACAATATTATCGTTTATCACAATAATTTCTGAGACAATTAATCGCCCAGCAAAATATGTTATTGTGACAGGCCAACTGGTGAGACCACTGCGCCTGATCTGAGCACTTCTCTTTCTCCTGTTGAGTATAAGTACAAGCTACATTTTCTTATTGCCATCTGACGGACTTTACCTTCTGCTCTCCTAAATGCGTGGTGCTTCATCATGTGAACGCTCGCAAACATTAGTGCAGACACTATAGTGCACATGCGTTTTCACAGGTATACTTAAAAAAAACTGTACAACCTCTATTTTAAATCTTTATTCAGTCCAGGTGGTCTCAACAGACCAATGTCTTTCAGCCCAAATCATAAAGAAACCAGATAAACAAATGAGAAACATACAGTGTGAGCTCATGTGTAAAATTTGGCATACATATGAATATTGCATTATTACAGTTTTACAAACAAATGTACAACAAATACATCATAAATAGACTCTTTATTGTGAGCTTGCGTGTTTTTTTCCTCTGCTTTGTTTTTCCCATGAAGAGAAGCAAAGTCCTCCTTATGAGGAGTACTCGTACTCTTCAGCACTGCGCCGACCAAAATCCATCCACCCCAAGTAGTCCCTGTCTGCTATCCGATGGCTGCTGGTCAGTCCGCCACCTCTGCTGTTGGCCATCGAGTTTCTACGCACAGATCCTGGAGGGACGAGGAACACACAAGACAAAGCAGAGCGTTGGTGAAATCTGTATTCCTCTGGGTGCGGAGGACCTCACTTCAGCATCGTGATCCTGCTCGAGTTCTGACGGGAGAACTTTTAATTCTTGGAGAAGGTTTGACAGATCGGAGAGACGTCCAGTGACGTAATTGGGCCAAATGTGGGTTTTTTTTCTAATGAGATGGCTTTAATGTTCTTCACACAGGCCACAGCAGCTTTAAAATGTATTTTTAACTAACTTGATGCTTTTAAGATGAAAGAGCTCTCAGTGTTTTCCAACTTTTTGAAGACTGTAAGCAGATTGCAGCTTTCACGCTTTGTTTTTGGGGCCTTCCAAAGGAACATTGACAGCTGAAGATGTTTGACATGTTCTCTCTGCTAGATCTGCTCTGATTGTGAGGATTTTAAATGTCCGTCAGTGGTTTAGTCCTCGCTCCTTTGTGCTCACATGCAACCAGCAGCAAGGGAAAGGCTGCCCCAACAGCTGGACCTATTAGCCTTCAGTGCACACCCGACAGCATGTGTTTGTGCACAAATCCGTGCCTTCGTTTCCTGTCAATAATTACTACATACCCCATCGCACCCCTGCGCGTCTCTAACTTTGATCTCCAAATCCCAGCTTGTTGTTTATTTATTTCTTTAACTCCGAGCGAAGCCAAGCTGAGCTGCTTGCTGGTTGAAGGCTCAGAGATGCACTTTTCACTCCACCCACAGCCTCCCACGCAACACAAGCACACACACACACACACAAACACACACACATTTTAATTCCCTGGCGTGCCGAGGAGTTTGGCCGTAGAAGACTCGTCAAACGACACCTCCCACACCTAAAGGTGCAAGTGAACAGCGAGCACAGATGCCCACAAACACACAGCTAAACAGTGGCCCCTGAGGCACTTTAATTCAATTTCTGTGCACATGTTGGCATTTTATAGATCCTTGTGTCTGACTTTACTCTCTCCCATGATGTCTTCTATGGGGTCCCGTTGTAAAGTTACACAGTCAAAAATTAACAGCAACACTTTGGTTTATGCCTTTCATAAGAAAAAAAGTTTGTTTTTATCAAAGTCATATTTTCAACATGTTATTCATACATTTATAAATGTCATAGTTCCCAACTAAATATTTAATTTACAAGCTAAATATTTAACTTAACTAAACTAAATATTTAGGTGTAAATTAAATATTTAATTTACAAGCTAAATAATTGTTTTCAAAACTAAACATTTAATTTCCAAACTAAATAGTTATTGTCCAAGTGAAATGTTTAATTTCCAAACAAAACATTTAATTCCTAAACTAAATATTTAATTTGCTAACTAATTTAGCTTGGACCTAAATATTTATTTTCCAAGCTAAACATTTAATTTCTAAAATTTTATTATTAACCTTTATTTAACCAGGTGAATCCCATTAAGATCATAGATCTCTTTTTTAAGGGAGGACTGGGCCTGAAGGCAGCCTAACATTTTAACAAGCTAAATATTTAGCTTTCAAGTTAAATATTTAGCTCCGAGTTAAATATTTAGTTAGCAAATTAAATATTTATTTAGGAAATATAGTGTTTTTAAAATAAATATTTAGCTTGGAAATTAAGTGTTTAATTTACACCTAAATATTTAGTTTACTAACTAAATATTTAACTTGCAAATTAAGTATTTAGTTTGTAAACTAAATATTTAGCTTGTAAATTAAATATTTAGTTGGGAACTTTGACATTTAAAAATGTATGAATAACATGGTGAAAATACGACTTTGAAAAAAAACAAAAAACTATTTTTTTTCTTATGAAAGGCTAAATAGACCAAAAATATTGATGTTAGTTTTTGACTGTGTAACTTTACAAACGGCACCCCATAGTCTTTGTCTTATAAAGTCTCAAACTGGGTTTTATGCAACAGGGAAGAGGAAACATCAGAGCTTAACGCACATCAGAGTTCCAGTTTAGATACAGAAGAAATGGAGAATGTATTTTATTAAAGGATAAAAATTTGGAACTCGTTCACTTTAAGTAATGAGTTGCTCAGCAAAGATGAAACTCGCGTTTTTGCCTATTTCCGAGCTTTAAGCGGGTGTTTAAATATTTAGCAGTCTTTTGCAGCTCTGTGAAAATGATCAGGCTGCTTCAAACTGAGATATCATGAGTTTTATCTGATATCTGAACGGTCAGGAAATATTTTGGCTTGTGACAGGTGTGCATGTGCGTGCATGGGTCCATTGTCAGAGTGATCAGAGAGATGAACATAATAAAAAAACTGACAATAAAAAAAGATCAAGCGATTAGAAGTCAGATTTGAAAATAGATGGTTTAAGACTGAAGGGCGTCCGGGAGGCTGCACACATTAATACACACTCTTTCAAACCACAAAAGCTTTTCAGAGCCACTAATTCATTTTACAAAGCTGCCTCTGCATTAATTCCAGTAATTAGCTATGACCGAGGGGAGGAGAGTGGCAGGAAACATGCACTTATCTAAAAAAAAAAAAACAAAGTTGATAGTGCTGATGTTTCCAGATGTTTTTCTTCATGTCCTCACAACACGTCCACGTTAGGAGACCTCAGGAACGACACAAACGGATTCCTGTCACGTACCTTTTCTGGAGGAGATGAGTCTTGCGAGCAGCTCGCTGAGGTTCGCACGGGAATCTGCATTGTCTTCGTTCAAAGGAAGAGCCTTCAGTTGGGGGTTCGAGCGGCTGTGTCGGAGGTGCTCTCCCAAGCTGTGGGTGTCAGCCTCGAGGACAGCTGCTCGACACAAAGACACACAACATCAGGGGTCAGAGGAGACAACCAAGGTGCCTGCAGAACCACACTGGTACCTTCAGAGGGAGCAGAGAGGGAGCGCTGGCCCTCAGCTAAGGGCTGGGAGGAGAAGGGGAGTCCCAAACAGCTTGAACACAGAACGGCCAGCACGACACACAGTCCTACAGTCATCTGAAACACAGCAGGGCTTCATGAAGGTCACGTCTGGACGTAGAGTAAAAACACTTGGTCCACAGTGAGGCAGCTCAGACGACCGCCTCAGATGATTGTGAGACTCCAGGGAAAGAGTGTGAATCAACGGTGCATGAAGCCCACATCATGAGCAGCAATGTCAACTCAGATTTTAAAAATAACAATATAAATCTTTATATATACATAAATAAGTCTGTCTTCAGACATCTTCTGATGAAAAAAGATAAATTACTGTGATCCAGTCCTTCAATGTGATCAAAAAAATTCAACTGTAAAGGTAGAAAATGAGTCACGTTCGTCACGATTAAAGATTTTTTAACTCAACACTGGTTCATTTTGTCCTTTTGCTCAAATTGTCTTCTTCTTGATATTTTGATGGAGCATCACAAAGACAAAATAATTGCTCTAAACGTGTAAAACGTATTTAAATCTCAGTTTATAAGAGACCAAATAAAGATTTTCTTACCGTGAGGAAAGAGCTTCAGCGTGTTTGAGGAGTGTAAGAATGAGGAGAACACTTGACTGATGAGTGGGAAGGATGCCCCTTTTATACTCTCCGCTCAGCTCCCCTCGGTGTGTGTGTGTGTGTGTGTGTGTGTGTGTTGCCTGTGCAACTTGTGTGTTCCATGCTTGTGAGTTTAAAGTAAGCCCAGGAGCTCCGGTTTAAAGGATACAGCAGCAGATTTCAGTTTTACTGTCTGTTTGCTTGTCATAAAATTGTCTGTTTGTGATACAATAACAGAGTTTAGCTGCACGCATGTGTGTGTGTGTGTGTGTGTGTGTGTGTGTGTGCGTGTGTATGTGTGTGTGTGTGTGTGTGTGTGTGTGTGTTTGCAGTGATTCATGTATGTAAAACTGAATTATTTTATTCAGAAGTATGACTTTAAAATGCTGTTAAAACATTGAGGGATTGCTGTAAATAAACCAGCACATCCATGTGAGTCTGTGTGTATGTGTAGTCAGGCTTGTGTGTGTGTGTGTGTGTGTGTATGTGTGTGTGCATGCGTGTGTGTGTGTGTGTATACACCCACACACAGAAAAAAAAAAAGTCGACCTAAAAAGTGGGCATAGTACAAAAAGAGAATCTCTGTGGAAGAGCTCGGAGTGAGACATCTCCACGGTGCGCCCAGCATCTTCAACCACGCAGGATTAACCCGGCCCCCGTCAATCCGGCCCCGTCCATCCCAGCGATGTGCCAGATCAGTCAGCCTGAGTCAATAAGTATTGATCAGCTGTTTCTGACTTCATGTTTTTATTAATGAGGCTGACGGAGCTCTGAGGCGTGTCAGGATTACGATGTGGGCTTGATGAAGTGGAGCTGCTGCTGAGAGCAGAAAGTGCTGGTCCTGTTTTAATGAAGATTAACGGCTTCATGTCTTCTGCTGCTGCCAGAAGATGATCATCAATGACAGCAGCGTTCAGTGATGGAATATTTCCTGCTGACAAACAAACATCTAACATAATCTGTTCAAACTTGTGTTCAGGATGACTCTTAACTACTGCCACACCAAATTTGAGCTCATCCATCCATCCATTAATCCATTATCCATCTATTCATGCATCCATCCATCCAATCATCCTTCATCCATCCATCCATCTATCCATCCATGCATGCATCCATCCATCCATCCATCCATCCATCCATCCATCCATCATGCATTCATGTATGTATCCATCCATCCATCCATCCATCCATCCATCCATCAATCCATTATCCTTCTATTCATGCATCCATCCATCCATTCATTCATCCAGCCATTCATCCTTCATCCATCCATCCATCCATCCATCCATCCATCCATCCATCCATCCATCCATCCATCCATCATGCATTCATGCATGTATCCATCCATCCATCCATCAATCCATTATCCATCCATCCATTCATCAATCCATTATCCATCCATCCATTCATCGACTTGTTCTGAAGTCAGGTCTCGGGGGCAGCAGCTTGAGCAGGGAGGTCGAGATATCTCCCACAACCACCTCTTCCAGCTCTTCTGGGAGGACTCCAAATCATTCCTAGACGCATCAGAGACTCTACTTCCTCAGACGGCTGAGGCGAGCTGGTCTGGGAAGCTCAGTCCTCACCTCCTTCTCCAGGTGTGCAGTGGAGAGCATCCTGTGCTCCAGCATCAACGTGTGGCATGGAGGCTGCACAGCTGCAGAAAGAAAAGCTTTGCAGAGAGTGGTGAAGGCTGCACAGAAGTCTGTTGGAGTCAGCCTCCCCACCATCACAGACATCTACACCTCCAGATGCAGGAAGAGGGCCACCTGCATCATGAAGGACCCCACTCACCCAGCACACACACTTTTTGCCCCGCTCCCCTCAGGAAGGAGGTTGAGGAGCATTTAGTAGGAGAGATCATATCTCTCCAGTTTTAGTTTCTCTCCATTGGCTCCCTGTCAAATCCAAAATATAATTCAAAATCTTACTTCTAACCTACAAAGCTCTCAACAACCTAGCTCCATCTTATATTACAGATCTTATTGTTCCATATTTTCCTAACAGAGCGCTTCACTCTCAGGCTGCAGGTTTACTTGTGGTTCCTAGAATGTACAAAAACAGAATGGGAGGAAGATCTTTTAGTTATCAGGCTCCTCTCTTGTGAAACAAACTTCCAGTTTCTGTCCATGAGGCTGACACATTATCCAGTTTTAAAACTCGGCTTAAGACTTTCCTTTTTGATAAATCCTATAGTTAGGGTCGGCTTGGGTTTCCTGAGCTGTCCCTTAGTTATGCTGCTATAGGCTTAGACTGCTGGAGGACAAACTGACCACAATTTTCACTCTGCTACTGTCTTTACTTACTCTGCTCAACATTTGTAATTATTTTTTCTATCCTTAACATGTTTTTGTCTTTCAGATACACCTGGACCTATATCTGGACCTACCATTCTGTGTTCGTCTGTCTCTCCTTCCTGTCCTCTCAACCAGCCGGTCAAAGCAGATGGCCGCTTGTCCTGATCCTGGTTCTGCTGGAGGTTTCTTCCTTTTAAAAGGGAGTTTTTCTTTCCACTGTTGCCACTGTGCTTGCTCAGAATGGGAGACTGCAACGAAGCCAAGATTCAACTTGTCTGCTGGATTCCTTAGATAGAGAACTTTACTAACTGGCTTTTATGTGAATGTTCCTGTAAAGTGCCCTGACACAACTTTGTTGTGATTTGGCGCTAAATAAATAAACTGAATTGAATTGAATTTAGTGAAGAACCACTAGACTGAGCAACAGCTTCTACCCTGAATCTGTTAGACTCATAAATCTCTAATCAGGAATATCTCTGTGGAAAAAAAAAATTCTGTAATGCCACTTGACTGTTGATATGTGCTGTTGACTATCCATGATGCTGTTCTCATGCTGCTGATTTAGTTCATGCTGCTGATCTGTTTCTTGTTGCTGTGTTCATTTGTACTCTTCTACTCACACAGACTCATGCTCGTGTTGCTGTTGGTCGGCGTATTGTTTACTAATAGTGCTTAGTGTATTTCTTAGTTCATATCTTCAGGGCGGCTGTGGCTGAGTGGTTAGAGCAGTTGTCCTCCAATGCAAAAGTTGGGGGTTCAAATCCACCATCAGTCACATGTTGAAGTGTCCCTGGGCAAGACACTGAACCCCTCATTGTAGTGTAAAGCACTTTGAGTATCTTGATAAGACAGAAAGGTGCTATATAAGTACAGTCCATTTACCATATCTTAGTTCTTATTACTGTTTTTCTTTTACAATTTACACTTTTGTTGGATGGAACTGGGACCCTGTGTACACAAATTCATTCCACCACATGTACCACATGCAATGCTAATAACAGTAAAGAACCTTCACCTTGACCAACTGAAAGATGTGGCCTCTCCAGAGTGTCCTGGGTCTTCCTGGGGTTTCCTCCCAGTCTAAGATGTCTGTAGCACCTCCCTAGGGAGATGTCCAGGAAGCATCCATACTGAACCACCTCAACAGGCTGTGGAGGAGCAGCGGATCTACTCCGGTCTTTCTTAGATAACTGAACTCCTCACCCTATCTCTAAGGGAGAGTCCAGCTACCCTGCAAAGGAAACTCATTTCAACCGCCTGTATCCACAACCTCATTCTTTTGGTCACTACCCAGAGTTCATCAAGGTCAAGGTGTCTTTATTCTCATTCGCACCACATGTGGTGGAACGAAATTGTGTACACAGGGTCCCAGTTACATCCAACAAAACTACAAATTGTGAAGAAAAACAGTAATATGATCTAAGATACAAACTAAGAAATACGCTAAACTAAGAATACACTGAGCACTAAATAGTACAAAACAATGTGCCAAAACAACAGCAGCACAAACATGAGTCTGTGTGAGCAGATGAGGACTAATGAACACAGCAACATGAAATAAATCAGCAGCATGAGATCAGCATCATGGGTAGTCAGCAGCACATAACAATCAAGTGACATTACCGTGATTTTTTTCACAGTGATTATTCTGGTTAGAGATTCATGAGTCAAACAGCCTCAGGGTAGAAGCTGTTCCTCAGTCTAGTGGTTCTACACTTAATGCTCCTCAACCTTCCACCTGAGGGGAGCAGTGCAAAAAGTGTTTGTGCTGGTTGAGTGGGGTCCTTCATGATGCAAGTGACCATAGACCATACCTTTCCTCTCTCCATCTTCATGACCATAGGTGAGGGTAGGAACGTAGACTGACTGGTAAACAGAGAGCTTTGCTTTACAGCTCAGCTCTCTCTTTGTTCCAAATTTAACTCAATATCTGTAAAACTGACAAAGTTGGTGCAATTTTTCTTGACTGCTTAGGTTAATTAGTTGTGGCAGCCATCTTGAACTGGGTTGACCCTAAAAGTTGATCAATTATAGATGTACCAATCCTTTCTTTAACCCTGATTTCCTTCACTCTATTCAACTTCCTTGCCAACTTAGGAAACAGTAATGTTTTTTTTCAGGCACCATCAGAAAGCAGAAGTGTAGGAGGTGAGGCCACAGCCGTTCAAATTAGAATTAATTACCCATGTGGTGTGGGAGGCGTGCATGTGTGTGAAATTATCTGTTACCTTAGGTCTAAGAAATGTACTTCTAGGTATGTTAGTGTGTTTGAGTCTGAACTCGAGTGTATGAGATGTGGGTAACCACTTCGAGGTACTTTTGTCTCACCTTTCGGAGGTGGTGAGCCCAGTTTCACCACTCCTGTGAGGTCTGCTTGTTAAGTTTCACACAAAACCCATCTGGCCAGAGGCTCAGTTTAAAGACTGAAGTATCTAATTTGTGACAGGGGATGAGACTGTATCAAATGCACCATACTAATGTTGGCTAAAATAAAGAGCTGAGAAACCCCTTACAGAGGCTTTGCTGCAGCTTTAGTATACAGTTAGTAAATACTAAATAATGCATTGCTTTAATAATGTATCTGAGTCAGTTTAATTGTCCTATATTTAAAAGTGTGCCCTTCGACAAACCACATTTTGGATTTTTCTCCATCATCGTTTTTATTTCACATGACCCAGTGAAGGTTCGGTGTTTTTGATGAGACTTACTGGTTTCAGTT